TTTTTTAATATTCGTAACACATGAATATGCAATTACACCACAAATACCAGAAAGTGCTACAGTGAGTGAAGCTGTATATTCTGGAATTGTACAGTCTTGCAACTATCTAAATAAAGCATTCTTTTTCTCCACGTGTGCATGTGTTAAACTAACGTGCTGGTGTGGTACAGCTCTGGGTAACAATATTGTCGAGTCACAAAACCAGGGGAGGAGGTAGGGGATTTTCACTCTGCCATGAAAGCACTGCCAGCTTTGCCTTGTTACACCCAATGCCCTTCACCTTCTTTGCTCATAAAACCACCACATAAATTAATTGGCAGGTTTCTTTTTTCTTTTCAACATTTTCTGTAATGCCAACTGGCCTAAGGAAGGTTTATCTTATTAACACCTGCATATTTTCTCCTACTCCATTCCTCCTATATTAGGGAAATCTTTATGAAAATTGTCAGAACAATACCATTACGCTCCTACAAATTAAGTTGAAATTCTTTGTCTGACAAACAATCTTTAAAATTTTCCAGGTGATAAGAAACATACAAAAAGCCAACATCAAAACTAAAACACTCCATTATTTCTGATAAACTTATCTTCTGCCTACTCAGTCACTTTGTCACAACATTTTGTTTATAAATTCACTGGAGTGGAAACTACAATTTACTTTATGTCTGTAACAAAGTCTTGATTAGCTTGAAGGTTTCCAGATAACTTATGTAACTAGTAAATATTATAGTAGAAATAAGATGTACCTGGCAGCACAGAAGCAGGGCATGTAGAATCCTCCTTACTCATGTCAGTCAGTGGTGAATAGTTTATCCTGAAATGTAAAAATTTGGAGTGAAATTACGGCTCTGCTGAAGTTCATGCTTTTTATGTCTACACTATTATAGTAATACAGTAACTAGAAACACATCTAAGTATCAAATGAACTTAAGAAAATGCCATATATTTTGTTTTGCGCTATTCTGCAAGGGATCTATTACTGCATTTACAGTAAGTTCACTATGACACGCCATTCCAATTTTCATCCTCACTTTCATAAGAGAGCTATTTCTCTCTTTTTTCAAGCTTATGAATCTGATAGCTGTATGTCAGTTTTGTAAACCTGATAGATGCCTTCAGTTAGAGCAGATCTAAGGACTGCTGGGCCCATGACAGGGTGAATTCACTAGGCAGGACAGTGCTGAAAAGCACTGAGGTCAAGGCACATTGAGGGCTGGCTGCTTCCCCAGGGAGAAGGAAATGGGAATCGTATAAAAGTTTCTTTTCCCTTTTTCTACCAACTGCAGACCTGACATGCTGAAGACAGGTTGCTTTAATGTGTCCTGTGAAAGACATAATCTGCATTTACAAATACAAATAAAACTTGAAGGGATAAAGTGCTGAAACTCTTCTTCAAACTTAAAGGAAATAGAATTAAATACTGTATTGGATATGCTGAGTTCTAAAGTGGCCTTTTAAAAACTTTTTCTTAAATAGAGCTCCATCTGCCTGAACCTACAAATCAGTACATACAAGACCCTTCTTGCATTCATAGCATTGCCATTTACATTTACAATTCTGAAATCAAAATGCAAATTCGCTTGCACAGCTGCACATCACAGAGAAAAAATCTGGGTACTACTGAAATTGCTCAGCGGAGCTGGGATTTCATCCCTGCTTTTTCTCTATTCTCACAGGTTTATCAATGAATATCGAGGATGCACTCAGAAAGCCTGATCAACACCTTTCCAGTGAGCTGAACTGAAAACAGAACAGTAGCAGAAACGTCAGCATTTCCAAGGAGCTTTTTGAAGGCAAGTAGCTTGCAGAGAAGTCTAACAGTGAAAGTCACTGTTCTTGTTCTTTTACCTAGCTTAACACAATGGTTTTGGGGATTCATTTCTCTTTTATTCATGCTCCATGTGTTTGTCAGTCAAATTTTCTTAGTCATTAACCATTCATTTGCTATTCTGTAATTTATTATGTTATTCATTTTACAAGGCAGCTTGCAAGGTTTCTTACTTGTCTGTTCAAGTCAAGCATAATGCCTTATGCTAACCTTCACAAGGCACACTGAACTTGTCAGGAATATTTATTATCTGAGTGTAGGAGGATATCTATACATTTTACAGTTTTTGATATTGTTCATTACTTTTCCTTCTCTATTTTTTTTAACTGATTTTCCCTGCATAGCAAACATGGGTTTTTTGATCCATACAACTTACATTTGAGACTTGAACAGATCAAAATAAAATCAGTAAAAGCTGTTTATTTGCTTTCATTGATTTATCAGTTCTAACGAAATCACACGGAATGAAAAGTTTCCACGAATGTGGATCTTGGCTCAACACTTTGTAGTTTTAATAAATTGGAAAATGACACATAGTAAATGTTTGGCAACATTTACATTTACCATCATGTTATTCAGAATGTTTCCTAAAGCAGATACTAATTCAGATTATAGTTTGGAAATTAAACATAACACAACATCCCTTAGCCAATGAATTTGAAAAAGAACTGCATTTTTTTCCTGCGTTAATAAAACTGAAACATACCGAAGAATTTTGATTAAAACCAAAATGTGATGTAATGGTTTTCAGAAAAATTAGGAGCTTCTTGGCAAAACAAAAAGAAAACTGGATAGTTTTGTGAAGACATTCATTTAACTTCCAATAGGCATTTAGGAAAATTAGATCACTAACTTCTTACATTCATAAGCAGTATTAATACAGTACTTTCCAGCACTTCCAGTTAATCTCAAGCCCAAAATACAGAGCTGAAGTTGATTTTTTGTTCTGCTGTTTAATTGCAACTCAGATTGACCTCACACCTACAGTGCAGCCTATTTTTCTGCAAAAACTACCTCAAGAAGAAGCTTAAAAATAAGCATCCTAACTAGACAACACTGGTTTTATTTATATAATTTAATTCTCATCATCCAATAGTGTAATTGTTTTTATTGCTCTTGTCCTTAACAGAAACAGAAAATTGGCCCTACTGAATGAAATGCAGGGAAACAGAATGAGTAGGATACATCAGACTCAGTAGCACTTCGGATCTTGGCAGATTTGGGGTCAAATGGAGAATACAAGAGTTACTGAAAATAAAAGCTTCTCTTTTCCTTCCCTTCATTTGTAAGCTGGGGTGAGTTACTGTTACTCGTATAAGTTTTCTGATACAGATTGGTGAAAAATTCACTGTGAAATAAAATTAAAAAAAAAAAAAAACCCAAACATCTTTTTTCAAATAAGAAAGCCAGTTACAAATACTCATGAATATAATCAACATATTGCAATACACACAGAAAAGAAAAATTCTCCTCATATAAGGGCTTTGATAGAAATAATGGAAATGCATAGATGCCATTTTGTGGAAGAAACAGGCTAACACTAGTTTCCACTAAAAATTCAAACCATGGGATATAAGAAGTGCTCTGAAAATCACACTGGATAAATACACCGAAAATAAAGTATTCGGCCAAACAATTAGAGAACCCTCCTTGGTAGGGATCTAGATCTAAAGCTATGTTTCCACATAGTATTGACAGATACAAATTAGTACTTGTGTCTATGAATATGTTTATTGTAAAGAAACTTGTAATGAATAAGGATACTTCTAATTACAGAATGGTTATGGTTGGAAAGGGCCTGTACCTGGGAAGATTATAGCTTCCAGGAGGATCTGCTCCATGTTAAGGCACATATGAGATAAAAAAAGTGATAAAGAAGTGATTCGAATCATTTCTTTACCAAGGGCAGATCTTGCCCGACCAATCCGGTGGCTTTCTACGATGGAGTGACAGATTCCGTGGACGGGGAAAGGCAATGGATGTCATCTTCCTGGACTTCTGCAAGGCCTTTGACATGGTCCCTCAACACATCCTTCTCTCTAAATTGGAGAGGTGTGGATTTGAAGGATGGACTGTTCGGTGGATTAAGAATCGCTGGATGCAGTCAAAGGGTTGCGACTAATGGTTCTGTGTCAGGGTGGAGGCTGATCACAAGCAGTCCAAGTCAGCCTCGGGCCCGGTGCTCTTCAGCATCTGCATCAATGGCACACGTGCACAATAGCACATCGAGTGCACCCTCAGCAAGTCTGCAGATGACGCCAAGCTGAGTGGTGCAGTCGATACATTGGAGGGAATGGAAGCCATTCAGAGGAACCTGGACAGGCTGAAAAAGTGGGCCAATGCAAAACTAATAAGGTTCAACAAGGTCAAGTAAGGGGTGCTGCATTTGGGTCAGGGAAATCCCAGGTATTTATAAAAACCGGGGGAAGTCTTTACTCACACCAGGAATTGCCTCAAGTCGAGTGCAACACCTTCCTCTTGGTCTTGTTCAACCTTATTAGGGTCTCATGTGCCCGCTTTCTGAGTCTGTCCAGGTCCCTCTAGACGGCATCCTTTCTTTCTGTTGTGTCAACTTCACCACCCTTGGTGTTGCCTACCTCAACTGCCCTGCTAAAGCGAGAAGCAGGAAAACCTAGAACAAATTGTCCAGGACAAATTAATAAATAAAGACAGTTTTAGAAATTAGTATTAGAAAAATAGAAGCAAAACCAGCTTTTAATATAAACAAGTATGACATGGAGTTGTTATCAGAGGCACTCACAGTGACTTGCAGATCAGAGATCCTTATGGGTCACCGCTTTTAACAGTGTCATTCAGACCAAGAAAATTCTGAATGCATTAGACTCCTATGCCTAAAGTGGTATTGCTATCTCCCCTCTTTAATGTGTTAAAACATACGTGAGCTAATTTCACTTTTGCTTGCTGAGCAGTTCCTAAACGATTTATGGATGCTGACATCTACAGTTCTGAAATCTAAAAGTACTGCCAAAAGAATAACTGATCCCATTCTTCATTTCAATAGTTTATTTGTTACAGATACTACATAGAGCACCAGTAAAAGCTCCATTGCAGATATAGTAAAAACTCAGTCTTTTATGTATGGTATTCTGTCTGGGGAAGACTTGAGTAAGGGTCTTCAGTCTAACTAAGACACGATTATGATGATCAGGTACCTCTCCCTCTTCAAAAAGTAACAAGGTGATACATAATTCACAAGGAATCAAACAATAGCAATAATGAACACAAAGAATTAGAAAACATGCAGGACAACCAACAAGAACAGTATTTTTCTCTCAAAACTGTTAGTTGTAAGAAAATCTAATCACTCTCACAAGTGTCTTGAAGGATACTCTAGGTCATCACAGGATGTTGGGAAGCTGAGGGAAGTTTGCCTCGGGGAGCAAGTCTAAGGTGAAGGGGTGCTAAGCAGGCAAGAGATGTTGCTAGTCTCAAAGTCTATGAATAAAAATATATTAGACCTCGCACGGCATAGCAAAGAAATTAGCCCACTATATTTAAATGTATATCTGATTTTAAAATTACTGCTTTCTGAGCCTCATTGTTAAGGGTCCAGTGATTAAAGTTCTGGTTCAGTTATCTGAGCCTCTGTATTTGGAGCCAAGTACATTACCTGAGTGACAGCAGATGCAGCCTGCATAAATAAGAGAGGAGTTATCAATGCAAAGAGCGTAACAGCTACTAGTTCCGGTCTTTACTTTTAAATTAAATGTAATAGGCACTCTCCTCCAGAATCACTAAACCAGACCCAAAAAGGCACTCAAAAATACCTTTGTTAAACTGTTGATTATAAATCCAAATTTGGGAATCTAGACAAGAAGCACTACATTTTTTTTTTTCTGCATGGGACCACTTGAGATATTGTACATTGCACCTAGCAGTATCCGAATCACATCCAGTATGAAACAAAGGACTTCATCTACACTGAAGCTTCAATACACCAAATGCAGTTTAAACTGCAGTTCTGTTACAACGTATGTAACAGCCATACACTATGCAAGACCTCTGCAGGGAGAATTCAAGTCCATTTATAAAAGCATTACATTATAAAAATTGTTCCACTATTAGTCGAAGGCTTGATTTAGTTCTTCACTGTAGGTTCTAATGCACAACATTTGTAACTGTTCATATTTTTGGTGTATTCAATTACCAATTTTATTATATCAGTGTCCAGAAAACCCCAGTCATTACTTTGAATAAGCACTCACATAACTGACTTCAGATAGTCTAGATAAGAAATTAAAAATAATGATGACCGGATTTAAATAAGTAATGTCCAGGCTGAACCTAATTTTGATTTCAATTTCATTGACTATATACTAATTTAACTACATAGACTTAATGGAGTTATTATGATTTACACCACTGTCAGTAGCCTGTATTTTAAACACAGATCTTAATTCCATACTGAACTGCTACCTATTCTCTAAGTACAACAATGAAATTCATATATATAATTTGTAATAAAAAAATAGATAAAAATTTTTACCATCTGCTCTAGTATCATGTAGTTTGTCTATAAAAAGCAAACAATTGGGATTATAACTTTCCTTGTTAGCATGTTAATTTACTAATCATATGTAACAGGAAGAAAAAATAGTCAAATCTTAAATCAGAAGAAAGCAAGCTGTTTGTGGCTATGCTTTAAGTAAGAACAATTTAAATCCTACTGCTTCAGAGAACCAAATAATTCTGTAATATTAAAAATAACGGTTTTACATTAAAAGACACTGGCTTGTTTCTTATATTCCTCATATAAACATTATGTTACAGTGATTCCATTAAAGATGCATACATTTCCTCTGAAATGTCCAATTTTTAGACAGAACTGCCATTTCTTGGCTAATTCCAATGAAAATAGATCAGCTGCCTCTACTCACCGGTGACTAATAATAATGAAATAGAAAAGAAGAAAAAAGTGTATCTCACTTGTAAAGAATGAGTTACATTTTTAAGTAAAATGTTAACTTTTCTGTTTTAAATGTGATTTCAACATTTTTTCCTGGATAATACTGCACCAAGATAAGCTTTCCAGCATAACTTTTTTTTTTTTTTTTTTTTTTTTTTTTGCATATACTAAATAGCTACAAAAGCAGAAGCAATAACATGGCAAACTAACTAAAATATCTTAATTCCTGTTATTTACTACTGACTTGGCTATTTAAACATCATAACTCAGTTACCCACTTAAAATTTCTTCTCAGTGCAAAGATCTTCAGACCGTGCTAAAGAGGCACACGATATCACAAAGAGAGGAATGGAAAAATGGGAACTTGGAACTCTGCTACAGCCAGCGCAGCAGCTCAGTCTCATTATTTTAATCTTTGTGCAACATTTACAGTTGTCAGGAAGAGGGTTGTTTCCATTTGCTCCATCTGGCAAGCTGCTTGTGAGTTTAATGGACGTGCATTTCAAGTCTTCTTATGCCTGAGGCCATCTTTGAATTCATGTGCCTCAGTGGAATACCTAACAAGAGCAATTTTTAAAAATACATAATTTAATGAACTATGAAGCTCAATCTTCAGGGTTAATAGACTATTTACCTAATAAGAATGCTTAGAAAATATTTTTTCCAGGTTTTTTATGGCTATTGGGTTTCTATTTTGATTTCTTCGTCCTCTTTCTTTTTTTTCCTTCTATTAGTTATCTGCATATCATCAAGGATAATTTTTGTTTCACAATAAAGGTTGTAGAAGAGTGTGGCCTAGACCAGATTATCCTTCTCTCAGGATTTATGAATGGACATAACCATGGAATGGGGGTATCCCACACTAAGCTAAAGAAAAGGTGCGTCTGCCATGAGCTCAGTATTGCACAGCCATTTGGGAACCTGCATCACCCCTAACATCCCCAAACTTGTTGAATAAAATGACAGGATTCCAGCCATATTTATATGACATATGTTTTTCTATACTTAGAAACCTGATGGGAGAGGGATTTTATGTCTAAAACGTTTTTATAGCCTCAAACAAGACATGTGGCACTTGTTGCAGTGGAAATTATGTTACAAGTATACAGTGTAGCAAACTAAACATATTTCATACCACCATATGCCTAAAAATTTGGAGAGATACATACATCATGATGAACTGACGTTTAAAATAAAAGTAGTCTAAAATGATTTAAAGGAAATGTTTTAAAAGAAAAAAATAGAAAAAGACAAACAAAAAAGTATGTTGCAATACCCTATTTTCATTGAAAATGAAATTTACAGGAGAAACAGTGGTACTGAACAGTAATTATTTTTATCATTACTTACCTTCAATTGTTGGTAGGCAATCTATACAACTGCAAATAAGACTTCATTGTCAAATCAAGTTCCAGCTGTGAGTGAATCAGATATATTTCTACATATTAGAAATAGTTAAGGGCCTTAGTTTTGATTTTGCACTGGCATATGCCAGCATACCAGCTTAAACTTCAGCAAATTACTTCCAAATCAATTTCAGGGTGAAAATGGAGCTTCCTAAAACAAATGGTTTAACTGATTTAAATTATGCATTATCGTATTTCTATTAATCCTCTCTGTCATTGCTTGTGTTTTAGAATATTTCTCTGTGTATTAAGCTATCTAACATTAATAAAATTACTATAGTTAGAAAATTGTGGTATCCTTCCAGTTACCTCTGGTAAAAATTGTGGGCATTTCATCACCTTCATTAGGTATATTGCCACATGTTGACCAGAGGATCAGTAATGAAGCAGCTCACAGGTAGTTTTGCTACGTCTCTCTAGTGTGCCTTTGGAATTTTTTATGCCATCCCCTCATATCCTCATGGAACAGCTGTATCCTTTGCGTGCTGACACATCCCTGCCTCCCTAGCTGAAGGAATGAGCTGCACCAAGTTTTAAAGAAACACCCAGGATTCAACAAACTTTTCAGTATATCAGTCGCTGCGAGAAAGGGACATCACATACTTGCAGGAAGCCAGAAACAGGCAAGAAGGGAAACAGTGACTTCCACCTGCGCTCTTCCTCAGATCAAGGAGCAGTAATGTGCCTCAGCTTCTGCTTTCCATCATTGCGTGCACGTTACTTATGCAGCATAGTCAACAAGGCAACAATATTCCCTTGCTCAGAGAAGTGACAGCAGCTCCATGGAGGTTTTTTGTCATTATTTAACAGCACCACCTCTCCTGCTGTGGTCTGAAGTATCACCCACAGTGCTAGTAATGAGGGATATTTTATATCTTTAGTATCCAAATCAGGCAAAAAAAAAAACACTTTCCAGGCATTGGAATGCAACTTCAAACATACACCTCAGCCCTTTTTTAAATTTGCTTTTAAACTACTTAAGTATTTTATGGGGAACATACTAAAATTAAATATTGCACTAGTAGATCATATGGCATAATGAGATTCGGATAGATGGTAGGTTTCTACTTCACACTTTGATGACAAAATTCAAACCACGTTCAAAGTTTCTTCCAAAAACAAAACTGGAATTTATTGCAAAATACAAAGAAGGTAAAAAAAACTCTCAAGAGCTCTGGAAGACATAAGACAGATATTGTTTTCGTAATGGGAGTATGTTTCCTTACCCATGAAACAGCAAAATTTCAAGCATAAAAAGCTCACATCAGAACAAAATATTAATACTATCTTCTGCATGCTAATGCAGAAAGTATGGTGTCTCACTACATTTCATTGAAGAATCTTATATACATCTTTAGAAATCCATGCATAAAAGTTACTGTAAATGGCCTTAAAAAGTCCATTAAGTATCCACATATGTAATTTATTATATAAAATTAGATTATCCATATAAGCAATTTTAATCTGGTGTACATGGAAAACAGAACTCATTTAGAATGGTTGCCCTGTTAAAATGCTGAAACGTTTGCTTTTTCTTAGAGCAAGCTCCAGCTTCCTGCTTGTAGCCATTCATTCAGGAAGTCTACTCCTTTAAATATGATGATGGTGAACTTTTGAACCAAGAAACTAGGTGCCACAGAGCAGAATGCTGATCAAATTAGAAGGGGACCTTTTAACTGTTAAAAGTGTTAGAGTCAAAAGCAATAGGCTAAAACCAGGCCAAAGATGAAGTCAATAGCTACAGTGACCATTCTGCAGTGGTTTTGGTCCCTTGGACACATCCGAGTTCAGCCACCAGTCTAAAGATTCCTAAGGAGCAAAGCCAGCACCAGTAAAACATACCGCTATCTTAAGCTGCATCACCAGCAAATATCTTACACATTAACCTACTGTGCATGTCCTAGGGGGTTATCTCCTACTAGCCTGAAACCCAAGGACATGAAGCCATGCAAGAAGTGCGTTCTCATTTTGCCTCCTGTGGACTTGCAAAATCAAAAGCAGGGGACTGGATGCCCCATCCTTGGACCTGTTCAAGGCCAGGTTGGACGGGGTCCTGGGCAACCTGATCTGAATGTGTACGTTTGGTGGCCCTGCTAGGCAGGGGAGTTGGAGCTTCATGATCC